GGGGGTAGGGGTCTTAAACCCTCATCGACACAATTTAGATCATTCAGGGGGCGGGCTTTCGAACCTGCCTGTCAGAGCCAACTTGGGCTTACAGGGATACAACATCCCAGCAGAAAGACCGAAATTCTTAATAATAATTCTACACACTCTCGTGGAATCGAACTCGGATCCCCGGCGTGCAACAGAGAAGCGGTTGCCTCTTTCTGTTGTTCAATAGCGTGGGACAGATTTTGGTAAAATAATGATTGGGGTTCATCTATGTTGGTTCCTCTGCACTGCTGGCTCTCATGTCTCTTTCCATTCAATAGCGCAAGACAGATTTGTGTTAGGCAGTGAAGAGGTCATTCTGTGTATACACGACAAATATCATATGCATGACTGCATGACGCACTTACATACATGCATGTGTGTGTAACGTGGAGATAAAACTGATTGTTTGTTTAGCGTGAAGTGGCTCTCCGGGTTACACAGGCTGGTTGTTTATTTGTTTCATTACGCCATTATTAATTGTTATTTGGGCATCGGTAAGAAAGTGGGGAAAGTAAAAGGTTGATAGGTTCAGTGAATAATGAGGCTACGGTTTTAAATAGTACCTGCTGTTACGTCAAGAATGACAAAACTTGAATGGGAGAGGGTAATCAATGTGAAGGAGGAGTTGAGATAAAAAAAAGTTATGACGTTTGGATCGTGGGAAATGTTTAGATAGAACAGATTGGGGGTGAACAGATGGGACGGTAGCTCATTCAGTAGTGGAAGTAGCAGGGGTGATAATCTGCTCTGGTGTACCAAGTGGGGGGGGGGGGGCGCGGCTGATGATGGGTTTTGTCATAAATGGGTGTGTATGTTTGTCTGTCTATCTGCATATGCATGTGTGTGTGCGAGTTTTTGTGTGCACGCGTGCTTGTTTGTATTTGTCCAGATGGTGAGAATGTTTGTTATGGGGAAAGATTCATGGTGTAAATTTTAGCAATTCAGGGCTGGAGATCTTGTTCAAGGAATATAAACCGACAGAAAAGAGAACAGATTAACGCACATTGGCTTAACTATAACTGATGCCAGGTCTCTGACTTTCAGATTTGGCTCCTCCTATATCTGTCATAGTTTGTTCCTTCTGCGTGTTCCCTGTTGGCTCTTTGTCCACATATTGCCTTCCCTGTGTGTAATCACATACAATGTATTTTGCCTGTTTGAACTCCCC